GGGGGGGTATGCACCGGGGCATGCCTGTTACCAACCAGTGGGCTGAAGTGCCCGACGCGCGATATGCGCGAGCTACTTGCCGGGGAAATGACATACATTGGACTTGTCTCTGCCACACACGCGCCAACTTACCAACACAAATAGTGTTTGACCTTGTCCCCGTTCAGCGGTCGCAACAAAAGGGAAGGGAGGCAGACCGTCTGTGTTTATATGCTGACGAAGAGGGCTTCAAAAATTCATCAGATCAGATAAGGTCGCGGGGAAGGGTGAGGCCTATGTCGCCCTCTGTCCTCCCAGTCATGGAAGTTCAGTGCTTGCTGCAACGCCAAAGAATTGATGCAATGCGGGAGAGGTGAAGGGAGAAGGCGAGAAACGCGACATTCTTTGTGCATAGTAATGGAAATATTTCTGCCAAAGCGAAATAATCAGAGAGTATTTTTCTGCGCTGGCTAGATTTGGCAGTGTAACTGCGTATTGTAACTTTCTGTGCCCGCACTGTTCGTCATATCCCACGTTCGGCGTCTTTCTTCCCGCCCCCTATCCCTATCTCACATCCCGTCTCCTTTGCCCTTTCTGTCTCTTGAAAAATTCCTTCCTTTTCCCCGAAAGAAGCAAAGCACAAGTCAAACAAAATCGGCGACGCCTATGCCTAGCCATTCCAGGCGGCTCGGTTTGGCCTGTCGTTGGTTCCCCGCCCTCAAACTATTTGCGCATTTGTGCATCATATTGGCTTAACGGCGGAGACTGGATGCTGTTATATGTTGTGGATGTTCGAATATTACTCGTGGATCTAAATAGCACGGCAAGCGTAGTTGGTACACTGCAAAAATAATTTGTCACACTTTGTGATAAGTATTTTTTTTTAAATTAAAAAACGACATTATTCGTTTTCATTGACATGACATGTGAAAAAATTCCTTCGATTTTACCTTTAGCGGCCCACAACAATAATTACAACTGATCACCAACCTGCAGAACTTTGTGCTACTACACTTTTTTGGCTCAGGTGAAAATAGATAACAGATTTTAAACAGTATATCAGTATTAGTAGTTCATGGAAGTTCTCATAACTGCCATCACATAGTGTTGGTCAGAATTTTCTAGACACTCACAACAGCCTCATCTTTAACGGCGAGGACAGTGTGCTGTCCCTGAGAGTGTCGTTCCTACGGCCGCGACTTAAGCAGCGTGTTACTTTACCCGCTCCAGTCTCCCCCACCGCGAGACGCTGCACGCTGAGGCCGTCTTATTTAATTTCCTTGGGGTTTCCGCCGTCTGTTTGTGTGAGGCCGAGTGAGCCGCGCCTGTCTCCAATTTCCCTTCCACGCCTTCCTCCCCCCTTTCTGTCGCCTTCTCCCTCTTTCTCTCCGCATCTCTTTGCACCGCGTGAATTGAGGCCTTCTCGAAGGAGCGTAAAGGGATAATTTAGATCTGGGGAAGGAAGGGGCTTCACATTCTGTGTCTGGTCGGATTCCTCCTGTTGACTTAAATGCTTATAGGCCATCAGTATATTTGCAAGAGCTCACACCACCAAACCGCAACTGCACGACTGTATGTACTCTCCCAATATGGTCGGGCACAGACCCTACCCACCCCTCGGAGCTATCGGTACTCCGCCCTTCAATCATCAGGAATCTCGTATTTTGCGCTACACACCTTGCTCGTTTGAAAGACGTGCAATCACCCCCGGAGTGCCACTATATCTTTGAGTTACCCGCGCCATCCGACATCCTCTCAGTCCCCCGCCCGGGCGCCCCCCTACCCTCCGCACCTTGGACCAAACGTGGAACTTGGTAAACATGCTGATGTTCAAACTTGGATAGTCTTATAAGGAGTGCGAAAGGGACGGGAAAAGGGGATGAGGAGAAGGGGGAGTGAACACGAGGCTTGGGGGACGGGGGAGTGCGCTCGCGCGAAATCTGGGACCCCAGCACGCCGATGGGGACAGCGAAGGGGAGGTCGGAAATCTTCCGCTGGCAATTTCAAGGATGCTTTTATGGCATTGTTTGTCTGCCAGTTTGGCCGCCCGGGGTTGTCCCATCCAGTATTCTCTTCTCTTCTTCCCCACCATGTTTGGTGCGGGAAGAAGGGGGGAGGGGGATGACATCCGAACCCTAACACGCCAGCCCACCTAAAACCGGTGGTGCGGAGACACCTCGCCTCCTACGCACAGCACAGCCTCCTAATCACGGTGTACACTGCAAACAACGGTTATCTCTGCAGGCGGCGCGCAGGGCTGCTGCTTGCGCAGAAATCCTGCCGGAGACTCCGCGCGGCCTGGCTCTCACGCACTTGCAAATGGATAATCTTTTGTGTGTCTCTGAAGGAATTAAAGCTCTTTATATGCACTTCTGAGAGAACTTTCAACAAACACAAACACGTTTGCGTTTTCTAAAGCGGACACTTTTGTTGCAAGTAAAAATTAGAATCTCTTTGGAATCTTTTCCCTGTTGGATTAGTTTTAGTTACTAGGACGATTTGAAGGTTATCTCGGGAATTGTCTAAAAAAATTTTCGAAAGATGTTTGCTAAACAAGTTCCAAATCTTACAGAAATTATGAGTACAATTTTTTGTTTCATCTTGTTGCAGGTGTCTTGGGTGCGGCACCGTGACATCCACCTGCTGACCGTGGCGCGCTACACGTACACCAACGACCAGCGCTTCCGCGCGACGCACAACGCGCAGTCGGACGACTGGATCCTGCAGCTCAAGTACCCGCAGCACCGGGACGCTGGGATCTACGAGTGCCAGGTGTCCACCACACCGCACCAGTCGCACTTCATCCACCTCAGCGTCGTCGGTGAGTCGACTGTTGGACGGCGGAGATTTTTGGTCGGGCCGGGCGGGTACTGCCCTCCTGCAGGGTAGGCGAGCCCGCCAGACACGCGTGCACCCGGGCGAGTCTGAGCCCCCGCCGCTCAGCGGGAGGAAAAACTGCAGAATCAAGTGACCCGCCCAGCGGCGCGTGGTTCTCTTTCTGTCTCTCTCCCCCTCTCCCCCTCTCTCTGCACTCTGTCGCTCTCCTCCTCTTTTCATATCTCTTTCTCTCTTTTGCCTGTCTGGTTGGCAGCACTCCTGACTTGTTGTTTGCCCCTCCACATCTCTCTCTCTCTCTCTCTCTCTCTCTCTCTCTCTCTCTCTCTCTCTCTCTCGTTGTGTGTGTATGACAAAAATAGACTGTTAGGGTAGAGTGCGCTTCGCCCGTAATCTGTGGCCCGTTGAAAAAGCAGAGCAAACAACACAAAAAGCGTTTTGATAAATTGTCGCCCAGCAGTGCAGCCGTTAATTGAACGGTTTGACAGCTATGATCGCTCTGTGTGTGAGTGTGTGAGAGAGATAGAGATGGGAAGGGGTCCGGGGAGCGAGCGAGCGGTGCGCCGATTTCCGCTGGAATCCTACCGCATACCGGGAAGGTCCCGCCGCCGCACCGCTCATCCGGTTGGCTCCGGGCGACTCCGGGCGGATCTGGCCCTCGCCCCTTGCGGCTTCCTGTCCTGCCGCGGGGCCTGCCGCCGGGCGCGGCCGCTGGTCGTGACGGGCGTGATAAAGACGGCATGGCTGTGTGTGTAGTAATCACTCGCCACGAGAATCACTACTTCCACCCATGCTCTCTCTCTCTCTTTCTCTGGCTCTATCTCTCTCTCGGTCCCTCTCGGTCCCTCTCGCTCTGTCTCTCTCCGTCTCTCTTCCTCCCTCTCTCCCTCTCTCCGTCCCTCTGCCTCTTTCCGTCTCCCTCTTTGTCTCTCTCTCTTGCCCCCAAGGTGCTATAGGAACGGGGGGCGGCACCCCGGCGCGGGTTGGTGCGAGAGAGAGGGTCCGCGTGACCTACGTCAATGTCCAGACGAGGTTCCGCCATACTCGCGCAGCTCGCACCCCCCACTGATGGCCGGCCGGCCCGCCGTACAAAAGGCCCATTGTGCTGGATGGATATCGCACCCCAGCCCCCCCCCCTTTCCTCCCCCCCCCCCTCTCTCTTATCACACCCCTTTCACACCCGCTCATTTCACACCCTCTCCTCTCTCTATCACGCAGGCTGGAGTGTGTGCGGTGACGCGGCCGAGACAAATTATTCGTTCTCCATTCAGGTCCTACGGTTATTATTTACAGCCATTTTGCTTCCTCTCCTTTCTTTTTCTATTGTTTTTTGTTTTTATTGTTAACCCCGTGTACCGACCATGTTGTTTAAAAATAAAAAGCTATGGAGGGATTCATGGGTATCGCGTGCGGCCCTGCGCGCGCTGCCGCCTGTATATCTATACGGCTTGAAATAACGCTAACGACGCGAAGTGGCGTGGCGTGGCGCGGCGGCCACCTTGAGGCGCAAAGGCATCTGACGTAAGCAATACGCGCGCCCATTACCGCAGCCCGGGTCCCCGTATTCGGGCGAGCCGAGGCGAGCGGGGGGGACCTGCCATGAAAAAGTACGGGAAAACTGTGCAAACGATGACTTTCTCCGTCACACGCGGTCACCTGGCGGGCTAAAGCCGGCCTCTTGAGCCTGTTCACCTTTGCCAGTATATGAGCAAATAGTGGTCAAAAATAAGGAAAAAGTGTAGTTAAAAGGGCGCAAATCATGATTTTGTAGTTTACATGGGGTCTGGTAACTTTTACATCAATTTACAGCCGAAAATTTAAAGTCTCCACTTTTCATTACGACGCTATACATTTTCCGCGATCAAACTTGCATATCTCGGAGTGGGGAGAGGTGGGGGGCGCTGCGCCAGCGTTTTAGTATAAAAGTAATAAGCAGGTGTCGAGGTGATGGGCACTCTCGCCTGCGCGCTCGCCGGTATGTCGATGAGCTACGGCGCGGGGCGGGGCGGCGGGGTTTGCCAAGGAATCTGGAAAGTGAATCCTTCAGCGCTAACTACTTTCCGCCCGCCGCCCGGCGGAGTTGTGATGGTATTAGCATGGCAAGGTCTAGGGTGGGCCCCGGCCAGGTATTCGGTGGCTGGCCCCCAGCTGCTCGCTACGCTACGCCACGCCACCCCACCCGCGGGTAGTACCGTGATTGGCGGGGGGTGGCCGGTGATGCGCGCGCCCGCGCTCGGCTGGTACTTCGCGGGAACTTGCTTCTACTCGGTTAGCCTCGGAGCTCCGCTGTTGCCGCCGCCAGGTGCGTTACTGCTCATGGTTACGCGGGCGGGAGTGCGCGGCGAAAAAGGTGGAGAGCACGGCGCGGCGGTGTGGCTCCAGCGAGGGAGAGAAATAGTTTAGAATGGGGAGAGCGCCAAAGTGAGAGAGCACGCGGCTAGGGCGTGGCGGCGGCAGGCGCCGGGGAGGCCGACCTACGCACACACGTCTGGTTATGCATCACGCTGTTGAATTTTTCATGACGGTACCTCTGAACCTGTCATCAGTAAATCTTGTCGGAAATTCCCGCGCCTGCCTCACCGAGCCGCCGCGTATCGGGGCGGCAGTGGCTGCTCCGTGGGCGTAGGTGGTTGGGGGCGGTCAGCGCGCGCTAATAGAGGTGTGACCGTAAATTTTCGTTTCGGTAATTTAAAAATACTGCTACATTCGTGGGTGTTACTTTTATATTGCACAAGGGGGACAGTTATTTTATTCGACATTACAACAACGCTCGCAACTAACTATTTTGACTTTGAATTGAGGGCATTTTGGAGTGTCCCGCCCAGCCAAGCACTATGGATCACTGTTAAAAATTACAACAGTAAATAACTACAGAATGGACTGGTAACTTTGAAAACAGTGTAATCCTGTAGTTTGCACTGTACTTTGTTCCGGAGAAAAGTTCTTTTTAAGCAATCCCAAGTCTTTATCTGCCAAACACCAGTCGAACAGATTTTGACCGTGGTATGGAAGTACAGGACGATCTTATGAGTTCTGTTTCTGGGTACAGAATTTTTAACAGTGGATAATCTAGGATCAAGAAAACTAGTTCTTCATCTTCATAAATGCCAAGTTGATAAGGCACACTCAGCCTGTTAGAACGTGGACCGAGCTAATTTTGAGGTGCAGCAATTTGCAGGTATATGTTTTTCATTCCGTCTATGTTGTCAGAAGCAGTCACAATCAACCCCCACTTACTTTCCTTCCATTCCTGCAGCCCTTCGGTTTCTTTTCTCCTCGCGACATTCTTCCCAGTTTGAGGCGAACAGGAAGAGATGTTTGTGATGATGTCGAGCCATTACAGCACCTGGGCTGGGCGTGGCGGTGCCTTAGGCTCTGGGGGACTGTGGCAGTACGGGGTGGGGTGAGGGCGAGGTGGGCCGTGGGGCGCGGCGGGCTGGGGCCACACAGCACCAGGCAGGGCAGCAGGAGGAGCCGGCCCAGCAGCGGCAGCCCCGCACCGCACTTGTTGCAGGAAACCACTTTTCTCTGTCGCGCCGGAACGACGGACTTTCCACAACGTCGTGGAACTGGAATGGCCCTCCGTCCGTTGTTGTTTGCACGTGAAATTCTTCTCGCAACGGAAACGTAGTGTATCCTGCCAAAAGAGAGAAAAAATCAATAACGCCCCGTCGTTGCAATTTTTTTCTAGTCAATAAATATCTGCCAACTTCACATAACATGTATATCTTCAACGTTAGTGATTCTTTGAACTGATAGAATTACTTATAGCGATTACAGGAAAATTCTCCACGATGTATCGTAAAAATGCAATTTGAAATTTTTAACGCGCACGTAATTGATCAGCCAGCAAGAATGGGCTGTCGTAAGAACAACGTATTTTGTAAATAAAAAAATCACAACAAATGTTGTAAATTTACGGGGATACTTTTCACAGTGCACGTAAACTGGATGTCCTGATGTCCCTGTGTCCCTATAACTAAAATTAACCTCGGTAGGAGCAAAAATAATATCTATCCCCCACCTGCAAGGCCAGCAGTCAATCCAGCGCATTGCGCTACTCAGTAGTGTTCGCCTCGCAATAAATAATTAGCGCTTCCTCCTCAACGTCCCCCGCCTCCTTTCTCACGGCCCTTTCTTAGTCTGCCAGCGCCCCCCACTGACTCCAATTTTTCGATTAGCGCCCCCGCGGTCCCGACAGTAACAAGACAAGAGACCCAGGGGGGTCGAGAAGGAACGAAGTGTCAGAGAGAGAGAAACGAACTCGAGTATAAAGGGAAGTAGAGGAGTTTGGTGAGGTGGAGGGAGATGCGTATGTGCCGTGCGTGCGTGTGTGCTGTGGCTTCCAGTAATGCACTCCACGACGTGTCAACTCAAGTGCCTGGCGCGACGCTGTGTTACTGCTGCGCGACGCCATCTCCCGCCACGCCCCCGCCACTTTGGCAGAAAAGGGGCAGGGTGTGGAGAGGGGAGGAGGGGGAGCTTTTGAGAGGTAACGGTGAGAAGGTGAGGTGCTAGCAGCAGTCCCCCAGGAGGAGCGCAAGGAGAGTGCGGTGTAAGTCGTGGCCTCGACGCGAGGGCGTAGGACACTGCGGGTAGCTACGACCCACCAAGGCATGGTCGACAGGGAAAGAAATAAGAAACTAATGTAATAGGGATAGTAGTAACAATAATTTTAAAAATGCGCCAATAAGGTTCATTTTATTTATCAACTGGCGCACCCTCTCCCCTGCAATAATGCGTTTTGTTCCGTAATGCCGTCCCAGGGGCCGTTGCCGGCTCCTCTGAGGCGTCATCATGAAGGCATCTCTCCATCTCGAAATGAGCCCGTAATCTGGGCGGGAGCCCCGGAGTGAAAGGATCGGCTTCAAGGACCCGGGGACAGTCCGCTTGATACTTCCACTGATGCCAGCGCAGATATCGGCATTGTAAACGTCTCCATGGACCCCTTCTCTTGTTGTTGTTGCCTTTTCCCCCCGTTTATTT